TTTTTATTTTTTTCGGAACCGGGGATTGAACTCAGGCCCTTGCGCTTGTCAGGCAACAAAAATTTAATTTAATTTAATTTAATTTAAAAATAAAACGTAGGGCTGGCCAGATAGCTCAGAGGCTTAAAGCGCCTGCCTAGGCAGACACAGGGACCAGATTCGATCCCCCAGCATGCCTTGCTGGCCCCGCCCTTGGGGCGTGCTGAGATGGCAACAGAGACTGGTGTTGGTGACACACGCCTGTAACCCAGCACTTGGGAGGCTGAAAATCGGGGGACCACTACGAGTCGGATCTGTGTAGTGAGAGCCTACAGACCCTGCACTGAATATAGAATCCATCAGTCAAACCTTAAATGGGCTGGGAGTGTGTGGCTCATTGTTGGTAAGGGATAGAGTTCCTGCTTATTTGCCCAGGGCTCTGGGTTCTGTTTATAATAATGCCCCCACATATACTCCTTACCCTGAATTTTACAATTTTACAAAACTCTTTTTCAGGTATTAATTTCTGGTGCACAAGTTCCCATAAGTCTGGAGGACCTGAAATCCTTTACAAATTATTCAGGTACGTAGCTCAGCAGTTCCGGTCTGGCGTGCTGAAGGAGGTGCCTGTGGCTGGCCCTCCTCTTCCAGAGCCCTGGAGAGTGGCAGGCCGTGCGCACACACTGCGCCTTAGCCTCCGTGCTGCCCCGAGCTGCCGTCCTGCCCTCCGCACCACACTGTGCCTCTGTTGTGCTTCCATTCCTGCTTTTCCACAGCAGTGCCGGGGTGTGGGTGTGGGTGTGGGTGTGGGCCTGGGCTCCAGCAGCCCTGGGCGTGCTCCCCAGCACCAGAAAGGAGTTGGTGGGTGTGTAGGTGGAGTGCTAGCTGCTCCTGGCCTCCAAGGAAACGCACTGTTGAAAGGCTGGAGTGAGCCCTATCAAATTCTTATTGTTATTTATTTAATTTTACTTTTCAATTAAGAACTTTAAAAAATAAACAAAAGGTAAGAACCACAAATGAGACAAATGTTTTCATACTGCATGAAAAGCTAACTGCGCTGATAAGGAAGCATCAGTTACACAGGCAGAAGCCTGGGGGGCAGCTGCCTTCTTGGGTAAGCTTCTAAGTTTTTTGGGGGGGTTGTAATTACCTTTATGTAATTAACTTCATGTTGGTGACAAAAACAAAAGAAATCCTCCTAATGTTGGTATTCTATGCCAGCCACTGCTCTGTTGTCATATTCTATCATTTGTTTTGGGTTTTTTGTCATATATAGTTTCTAGTATATGTTTTCCAATTCTTACTCCGTGTCAGTGGTAAAGATTATGGAGGGCTCTAGAGGTTGAGGCAGGAGGATCACAAGGTTGAGGCCAGCTTGGGCTACCTAGTAAGCCCCTGTCTTTTAAAAAAGTGATGTTAAGGGCCAGCAAGAGAGTTCAGCGGACTAAGCTCAGGCAAGCGCAGGGGCCAGGGCTCCATCCCTGCACCACGTGCCATGCCAGCCCTGCCCCCAGGTGTGCTGAGCCAGCGCCTGAGCCCAGGCGTCGCACGCCCACAATCCCAGCACTAGGGAGGCCGAAAACAGGAGGATCACCAGGAGTTTGAGCTGTGCGGTGAGGCCCTGCACACACACAAAAAGCTATTAATGTGGAGGTGCGCTGCACATGCAGGTCCAGCCTGGGCTACATGGGAGGGCTTATCTAAAAACCGAGTTTTTAAAAATGATACAATGTTATGAGTCATTAATTTCTATTTTTCATTATTTACCCTGGGCATTTTAAGGTATTTTAGGGTGTTTTTTTTTTTTTTTTTGGAGGCTCGAAATGCCTTTAGGGCATTTCTGGTTTGCAGTGACTGTCTGGGTTGGAACCCCAGAAGCTTGGGCTTGAGGGCTTTGTTTAAGCAGGCACTTAAACGACTGAGCTACTGGGCAGGCCCCCATTTTAAGGTCTTTTATATCTCCTAGAAAACATTACACATTCTTGAGCAAAAGGTCGTGAAGCAGTGTGTTGTGTGCTCCCCGGTCTCTTCATGCCTTTCCACATGAGCACATGCACTTCTTTCGTGCGAATGGAATCTCAGCTTTGCAAGTGCTACCCAGTGCCCTGGTGCTGAGCCACAGCCTCAGACCTTTGAGTTTTACTCCCAGTCAGGGTTTCACTGAATTGCCCTGGCTGGCCTTGAACTTGCGGGCCTCCTGCCCTTGCTTCTCTAGCGCTTGGGATTACAGGGATGTGATGCCACACACTGTGGATTTCTCTTCAATCTAGAAAATACATGTTGGACAGTCAGGAGTCAGCACGTCCTCCATGCTTAGTAGCAGCCTGATGTCAGGCAGAAAAGTGGAGCACAGACAGAGTCACCCAGGCCGGGGGGACGGCCCAGTCGACCAAGCACAGGGCCTGATGTCAATCCCCAGTTCCGCAAAAAAAAAGTCATAGATGGCCATCTCGTGTGAACATGGATGCGTTCCCGAAGTAGCATTAACAAGCTGAGGCCAGCAGCAGGGCAGGCGACTAACCACGCAGTGATGATCACGGAGGGCCTGGTTCCTGCAACAGGGCCAGCTCTGTTAACCTTGGCGGAGTGAGGGTGAGACCCGCCTCCCCTCCTGCGCCCAGTACCGTGCAGGTCTCAGAGCTCTACAACAGGAAGAGAGCCAGCGGCCTTGACCATGCGCAGGACACTCAGGCTGCGGATGCAGAAGACAAGGTGAAAGGGAAGAGCATCCACTTTCCCAGAAACAAGTAAAGGTTTATCGCACATGACTTCATGAAAAAATATAAGGCCCAAACACATTTTGCAGGATTGCCACACAGGTTGCTGGTGAATGTGGAACAGCAGGCTGGGGGACGGAGAGCCTAGCTAATTCTGCTCAGCACAGAACCCTAAATTGAGCGATGCTCATGTCAGACTCGTGTGCTAAAGTTTGCAAAGCGCAGTGGAGAGAATTGCAAGGAGGTGAAAATAAATGGGGAGGGGCTGGAGAGATGGCTCAGTGGTCTAAAGCACCTACTTG